GAAAAAATGATATGGGTACTTAAATGAAGGGTCGTGATGAGTTTAAGATCGAGATGAGCTTATATCTTTAAAAATGTCAATAGTTCACAAGATACAAGGTCATTTCTTAATTTTGTATCTAGAAATAGAGCTTTTTCGAATGCAGCCTAAATACTTATCATCATAAATTGACTATTGGTGAGAATGATATGAAACTATGAAAAGGCACAACTCCAGGTTAAGACTTTTTCAACGATACCAAATTTAACCATAAAAACCCATTTTATCTTATAAATACACTGGCCACAAAATTTTGCTTATTCTTTTAATAATATAGATTGTTATTATTTTAGATTACTGCTAGCAGAACTACCAATCTACTGGGGTGACTCAAAAGAAGCAATAGACAATTTATACAAACTACTGGCAACAATCGAACAAATTCTAAAAAAACTTAGAACTTGGACTATCAGAAGAGGGTGGCCAGGCAAAATTCACCGAAAGTGAGCGTAAGGATTCCACCAGACTCTGGATTGGGAGAAAATCTCTTTATTATCCTGAGCTTTATGGGACCAGGCATGGATCCATGGCTTCTTTTGCCTTCAGGTTTGTATTTTAATTTATGGATTTTTTAAGGATATGAAAATTAATTTAGCAGATATTTAATAATTTTGGTGACAAATTATTGTAGAAAAAATTAGGAAAAAAATTTACATTTAGGAATTTAAAAAAATTAAAAATGCAATTTTTTATAAATAATTTTTCGGAACAAATAAATTTAAGAAATGATCAAGTGAATGCTAACTTTAATGTCATATTTTTTTTATTTTTTAATTATTAAAAGTTATAAAATAAATTTTTTTTTTTTTAATGAATTATGATTTAATTAATTAAATTTTCAAAAATATGGAACCAATAGATTTATAATAACATTTATTAATATAAAATTTTATTTATTTTTCTAAATAATTAAAAAATTGATTTTGTTGATTTTTCCTTTATTTATTTATTTATTTATTTATTAAACGTACACCAATCGGCATTATACATCAGAGTTAACAAAAATGAACAAATACTAACATTTAAAAATTTTACTTTTCAAAAATTTGTCGGGTAAAGTATAATTTAAACCTCACTATAAGATAAATAAGGACCTTAACTATTAGAAAAAAATTAAATTTACTCATAATTTAATATTTTTTATTTTACATTGGCGGCGAAAGGACCTGCTTAATGTCAATTTTTAAAATTCGCTCGCTTTACTATCGAGTTTATTAACGTTTTTCTTTTTTTTTTTTTTGATTGGTTGAATTTTATTTTATTATTTAATTATATTTTATGACATTTTAAGGTTGTTACAAGTTTACATTTTGCATCATTTTTAACTTCCCGCTAAAAATATTAGATTTTCAAAAATCGGGAAGTTATTGGTTTTACCCCGTTTTTCAAAAATCGAATTTTCATCAGATCTCGACGTTTTAAGGTCCTAGGAAGCTTCCCTGACTATTCCCGCGAGGGTGTCACTATGTCTGTAAGTATGTAAACCTCTTATAACTTTTGAACGGTTAAACCGATTTCATCGCGGTTGGTGCCATTCGAAAGGGCTTCACTAAACTTAGATTTCCTGAAAATTTGAACCGATTCGGACCGATAGATTTTTAGAAATTTAGAGAAATCTCCAAAAAAAATAGGAAAAAAATTTTTTTCAGAAGTCGCTTTTTTGGAATAACTTTTAAACGGCTCTACCGATCGATTTCAAAAATTAATCAGCTCTCAACCTTAAAAAACCACGTCGATTGCCGCCAATCCGGTCAAAATCGGTTGATTTGTTCAAGAGATATCGTGAACGAAAAAAAACCAAAAAAAGTGTTTTTTTTGGAATTACTCCGAAATTTCGAGTTTAACCAATTGAAACTTAAGAATTCTTTATGAGGCTTAAAAAACTGCGTAGAATGCCGCCAACTGCGTAAAAATCGGTTCAATCATTCAAAAGTTATTGCGGTTTGAAAATTAAAAAAATAGTGTTTTATCAAACTTTTGAGCTCGAAGAGCTCAAAAGCATACAAAAGCTATTTTTTTGAGCTCGGAGAGCTTAAAATAATACTCAAATTGGATTTATGAGCTCGAAGAGCTCTAAAACGTCCTAAGTGCGATTTCAAGCGTTTAGGTATAGAATTGGCGGGAAGTTGCAGGGATGGCCTTTAGGGTCAACCGTATTCCTGATTTTTATTAATTATTATTAAGTATTCTCTTTCTTAATGATCAACTCAATTTATAAACGGAGCAATTTTCAGTTGTAAAAGTTTTTAGTTTACAAACATTCAAGTTTACAAATGGCTATTTTCTAGTAAATTTAAAAACATACTTAAATTAATGTCCACGATTGTATAATCATATATGATTATATAGAAAAATTTTTTCTCGGGACGCCCTAATTGCTCCAAGATTGTTGAAATTTTTTGTCGTTCTAAGTACAAAGCCCAAGGACTTAAAAGCTGAGGCAGTTATATTAGCATAATAAATTATTGAGGTTAATAAATTAACTAAATTGTAAACTTTAAACCAAAAAATCATCGACATCCGCAGGCACTCGCGCTAAAATTTTCAACCCTCATAAAAATAGTTTTATCGTCATCCGACAAATACAATATATTACCAGGAGAATACTTGATGGGTTTGCACCTGACCACCATCAGTTTTGACAAGCCATGCAATTTGACGAGCGACTCCATGGAAGCGTGTATCGATACGTCAACATCACCAAAACACCTGCCAATGCAGTCATTAGCCTCGACTCCATCTGGAGCAATGATCCAATCACTGTACCCGATTTCATTGAAGTTGACACGCATGCCTCTTAGTTGGCAGCATTTGTTCCGGTATTTAAGGACCTTTCTCTCCCAGACATTAAGTTCTGTCGAGGCACTTCTTTCGTTTCTGAAGCTACCCAAGAAGTCCTGTCTGTTCAAGGTAGTTTTGTAGTACCCAACAACAAACGCAAATTTTTCTGGTTCTCCATCAAACCCAGAGATTCCAATATTTTCGGGCTGGATGTATTGAACCAAGTTGTATATCTTCATCGAGTTGACCGCCAGCTTCAGACCCTCATTGTCTTCAGGATAGGCGGTCCACCATTGAACGCAACTGGTGATATCTATCACGATCCATCCTTGATGATCAGCCTCGACAATTACGGAGTTTATATAATTAAGCTTCGCTTTTTTGTACCTATAAACAGTGATGTTGAACGGCAGACCTTGGAATTCTTCTGAAACGAGCGAAATGTCGCGGTAAAGTCTCAAGTCTGCGGAAGATAAAGCTTTTACGTAACTATCCTCGGAGTCATTAGTGATAACATTGTACCACAATCGCTGCATGCTGTGCTGGAGGATTTTGTTAGCGTTATAACTCACTATCATGTTGGTTTCTTTTCCTTTTTCTAAATCGTAGCTAGTTAAGTCGAAATTTGTGTAATTGAGGGTCAGTTTGGTGACCACGTTTGAGTAAACATTCATTAGATAAGCCGGAGCAGATCGTTTCTCCACCTTTGGTCTTGTGATGTTTACCGGCTCGTGATTCATCCCCATGACGTTTAGCCACAATACTTTATTCAATTCTTTGGTTAGATCATTGTCTTCTAAATTTGATTTTTTGTAAGCGCTGTCGCAGATGGTTGACATTGTCAGGAGAATCGAGATAAGTAGGATCTTCATTCTTATCAAGAGGGTTTCGTTTTTTAGCTTGGAGAAAATCCGCTTACTGGTGCCTAATGTAAAAGTAATAAATTAGTATAATTACTTTCAAAAATTTCAATAATATAATTTACTTAATAAATTTTTCAATTAAAATTTAAAAAAATTATATTTATGATTGAACTACTGGCGATTTACTTTGATGATTTTTACTCAGAAAATTAATATCTGATAAGTGCCTTTATTAATGATACTGAAATTAACTGGCATCTGATTTTTTCTTAATAAATAATTATTATAAAAAATATATCATTAAAAAATCACTTTTTAGACGTTTGAAAAAATTATTTATACAATTTTTTAAAATATTTTATTGACAGTAATTGATTTGTCATAGAAAGCTGAAAAATTTTCAATCTCTTAATTCCAATTTAATTATTATGTAATAACACTGAAATTAACACACATGTAAATCTTTTGGATTTTTATAAGAACTAAATTTATTATAAAAAATTTTTAAAATATAATTTAGTAGTAACCTCGCCAGAGGCGTTCATATTCATATAATTCTGCATCGATTGACGCAAATTGAAATTTTTTGACCATCTAGTTTCAGAGATATTTAATTTCAAAGTTCGAATTTTTAGAGAAGGTTATGCACTGAGCGTGTTCAGCCGAACTAAGTCCTGAGTAAACTTAGTAAGATATGTATAGTATAGTAGATAGATATATGTATAGCAGGGAATGCTTTGACTATACTTAGGCTAACTAAGTTTACTCAGGACTTAGTTCGGCTGAACAAGCTCACTGTGATATACGGGATACCGAAAATTTTACTCGTATATTTTATTATAACTAAGAAACTTTTTTTAAGATTTTCATAAAAAACTAAAATACTATTAAAAAACAGCTATTATTTGTTTTTTTTTTTTTCAAACTTTCATTGATTTTTACCATCTAGATTTTTAAATATTATTAAAAAATAACTGTATTATTCAAAAATAACCATGAGTAAAAGTGAGTAAGGAATAGCAAGTGAGAAAGACAAAAATATCCTAAACGATACCCAAATTTACTCGCACTATATGTCGCGAGGGTACTACCTTTTAATTAATTGTTAAATTTTAATTTCAAAAAATTAGATTTATGATTGAACTACTGACGATTTATTTTAATGATTTTTACTCATAAATTTGATATCTAATAAGTGTTTTTTTAATAATACAGAAGTTAACTGACATCCGATTTTTTTAAATAAATAATTATTATAAAAAATATTTATTGAAAATTCACTTTGTAGACAATTTGAAAAAAAAAAAAAAACTTAATAAAACTAAAGTTAGCAGATATTTGTAATTTTTTTGATTTTTACAACAAATAAATTACTACTAAAAAAACTTCTTTACACATCGACAAGTAGAATTTTTTAGAAAATTTTTATTATAATAATTTATTTGTTTAAAAAAATCTTGGAAATCATCAGATGTTAGTTAACTGCAGTATCATTAAAACTTAATGACATTAAAGTTAGCAGTGAAAATTTTTTAATTTTATTTAGTAAATAAATTTGTTCTAAAAAATTGCATTAATAATTTTTTTAAATTTCTACGTGTCAACATTTTTTTTCTCATTTTTTTTGCCATAATTTATTTATTGAAAAAAATTATTAAATATCTACTAAATTAATTATCATTAAAACTTACCAATTGTTGTCAATTAATTTTGAGCAAAAACTTTATTCAATTATTACGATTGTTCAAAATTTTTTGCAATACCACCAAGCCGGTTTCTCTCTTATATATATCCCCTAGGTTCCTCAAATAATCAGTTGAACACTTTAACTACAACAGTAAATATTTGATTTTGGTTAGCGAAAATAAAACTCTTTTACTGATTGATATACAAATTTACTCCAGATTGAAAATCACTGAACCAAACTTGGATTCTTTAAAGTTTTAATGTTCACGAGACAAAATTTCAATGAGAAATGATTTTGCAACTGAGATTCTATTTTATATAGACGGATTTTATGGAGGAGGTGCTTCGTTAGAGCCAATAGCCATTTAAAGATTCTATAATGCTTGTCATTGTCATTAGTAGTTAAGTATAGCAATGCATATCTAATATCTCATTGATGAGTAATTGTAAATGACCATAAATTTTCATTCGATTTCTGCATCTTTTATTGCATGAGGCTACCTGTGTAATAGTGACGAGGGTCAAAATATGTACATTTTAAGAAACAAATACCTCTCTGCATCCTCTCTTATGGCAATTAGTCAGAGTGAGAGAGTTTAATCCTCTATTGTACGGATATTGAAAAATAAGTGAAATTTAATAAATTATTATAAGTTCACATTCATTAGAAGTAAATGCAATTTCTATTCAAATATCTCGTTCAAACTTTAATTTGTCTTACTTTTAGTAACCTTAGATAAGAGTAACCTTAGATAAACTATTATTTATCTAATATTTCATTAATTATTTTTTAAATATGTAATTCTATTATTTAGCTGTTCAAGAAAGTTACTGTTTTAAAACAAGATTCTTTTAACTATTGTGCATTTTTTCCTTACTATTTTTTGAAAAAAAATTTTCAAAAAATAAATTTTTCTTTTAATTTTTAACTAAAAAAAAAAAATTTCAATTAATCTTAATCAAAAAATCTTTAATATAATAATTTATTTGTTTAAAAAAATCTTAGAAAAATCATCAGATATGTCAGTTAACTCCAGTATCATTAAAACTTAATGACATTAAAGTTAACAGTCACTTAAAAATTTTTAATTATATTTAACAAATAAATTATTCTGAAAAATTACATTTATAATTTTTTTTTAATTTCTGCATGTCAACATTATTTTTTGCCATAATTTATTTGTTAACAAAATTATTAAATATCTACTAAATTAATTTTCAATGAAAATTAATCTAGCATATATATTTAATAATTTTAAGAATTTTATAACAAATAATTTATCGCAAAAAAAAAATAATAAAAAAAAATTGACATGGAGAAATTTAAAAAAATTAAAAATGCAATTTTTTAAAAATAATTTTTTAGAATAAATTTTTTAATAATTTAGTTATTTTAAAAATCCAAAAAATTGACAGATGTCTGCTTAGTTCAATATCACTTATTATTATTTAAGCTTAATGATACTGATATCAAGAAACATTTGATAATTTTTTATGAAAATTAAGTTAGCCAACGATAAAAAATTTTTAATTTTTTTATTAATTAAAAATCAGAACTAAAAAACTATTTTTAAAAAATTATACGTATAATTTTTTAAAAATAGTTTTTTAGTTCTGATTTTTAATTAATAAAAAAATTAAAAATTTTTTATCGTTGGCTAACTTAATTTTCATAAAAAATTATCAAATGTTTCTTGATATCAGTATCATTAAGCTTAAATAATAATAAGTGATATTGAACTAAGCAGACATCTGTCAATTTTTTGGATTTTTAAAATAACTAAATTATTAAAAAATTTATTCTAAAAAATTATTTTTAAAAAATTGCATTTTTAATTTTTTTAAATTTCTCCATGTCAATTTTTTTTTATTATTTTTTTTTTGCGATAAATTATTTGTTATAAAATTCTTAAAATTATTAAATATATATGCTAGATTAATTTTCATTGAAAATTAATTTAGTAGATATTTAATAATTTTGTTAACAAATAAATTATGGCAAAAAATAATGTTGACATGCAGAAATTAAAAAAAAATTATAAATGTAATTTTTCAGAATAATTTATTTGTTAAATATAATTAAAAATTTTTAAGTGACTGTTAACTTTAATGTCATTAAGTTTTAATGATACTGGAGTTAACTGACATATCTGATGATTTTTCTAAGATTTTTTTAAACAAATAAATTATTATATTAAAGATTTTTTGATTAAGATTAATTGAAATTTTTTTTTTTTAGTTAAAAATTAAAAGAAAAATTTATTTTTTGAAAATTTTTTTTCAAAAAATAGTAAGGAAAAAATGCACAATAGTTAAAAGAATCTTGTTTTAAAACAGTAACTTTCTTGAACAGCTAAATAATAGAATTACATATTTAAAAAATAATTAATGAAATATTAGATAAATAATAGTTTATCTAAGGTTACTCTTATCTAAGGTTACTAAAAGTAAGACAAATTAAAGTTTGAACGAGATATTTGAATAGAAATTGCATTTACTTCTAATGAATGTGAACTTATAATAATTTATTAAATTTCACTTATTTTTCAATATCCGTACAATAGAGGATTAAACTCTCTCACTCTGACTAATTGCCATAAGAGAGGATGCAGAGAGGTATTTGTTTCTTAAAATGTACATATTTTGACCCTCGTCACTATTACACAGGTAGCCTCATGCAATAAAAGATGCAGAAATCGAATGAAAATTTATGGTCATTTACAATTACTCATCAATGAGATATTAGATATGCATTGCTATACTTAACTACTAATGACAATGACAAGCATTATAGAATCTTTAAATGGCTATTGGCTCTAACGAAGCACCTCCTCCATAAAATCCGTCTATATAAAATAGAATCTCAGTTGCAAAATCATTTCTCATTGAAATTTTGTCTCGTGAACATTAAAACTTTAAAGAATCCAAGTTTGGTTCAGTGATTTTCAATCTGGAGTAAATTTGTATATCAATCAGTAAAAGAGTTTTATTTTCGCTAACCAAAATCAAATATTTACTGTTGTAGTTAAAGTGTTCAACTGATTATTTGAGGAACCTAGGGGATATATATAAGAGAGAAACCGGCTTGGTGGTATTGCAAAAAATTTTGAACAATCGTAATAATTGAATAAAGTTTTTGCTCAAAATTAATTGACAACAATTGGTAAGTTTTAATGATAATTAATTTAGTAGATATTTAATAATTTTTTTCAATAAATAAATTATGGCAAAAAAAATGAGAAAAAAAATGTTGACACGTAGAAATTTAAAAAAATTATTAATGCAATTTT